ATAACACATCAATCATAATAAATCGTGTTAATTTTTCTACTCTCCCTTTTTCTTTTCTTGATTTTATTAGGTGTGATGAACTATTATCGCGAAAAAATGTTGGTTGGTGTACAATGTACACACACTAATCATGATTCTTGCTGCCTGAATTTGACCATTCCTATTTACCTGACCCACAGTGTGACATGAATGGTACCGGAATAAGTGATTTCTAATTAATTCATCAAGGAATTTAAATTATTCCAGTGGATCTAGGTGCAGTTTCAGTCAGCAAATGGTCCCATCTTCACACGGGGAAAAAAATGGTCACATTTTGATCTTTATTCAACTTAAAAAATATATTAGATTATGAAGTAGATGCTACAAATTACGTGCATTTCTATCGAGCGGGTCAAACATATTGGTAGTCAAATTTTCTTTTTAAATTAAAATATGTATGCACTTATAATTAAATAATAAGTTACGGGATGAATAAAGTCGAGAAAATATAATATATTTTGCCGAATGTGAAACAAATAATAGAATAGTACTTTGAAGGAATGCAAACGATGTAACTAATGGTCTATTTTAAAGATGATGCGTTCAATTTCACGAGAAAAGTCTCATCTCGCACATATTTTTAAAAGATTTAGTCCATGTTTGGTAGGGATAAAAATACAAATTTTAATTTAAATCAAAATCAATATTTAATTTTAACCACATATTTTATGAGATCCACAACTTTTCGACCACATATTTCATTAAATTTTATTGAAGTCCATTAAAAATCTTATTTTAATCTCTACCAAATAAGGGCTTAAAGTTATTTGGTTGGACTTGGATCCAACTATTTTTTTCATATTCTTGATGTGTATAGCTTGAAAGTTACCTAGGAAAGTTTTTTATTCTCTCTTCAAAAGTATGTAATATTTATTTGAGAATAATGCTAGAGGTACATAATGATGCACATAATGGTGTACATAATGGTGATGTGTCAATCATCCAGTTGTTGATGTGCAAGTGTGATAAAGGTTTGATCATATGCCACGTGTAATTATGTGAACCCTTATGTAGATGATTATGTACCTGTAGCATTACTCTTTGTTTGAAGGATGAGGCTACATGTATCGAATTTTTTTACCGAATCTTTTACCTACTACTCACAATGGGGATGTGGACCATATTGTCGAAATTTTTAAATACACGCGAGCCCTGAGCATTATGTGAGAGAGGGTAATCCATTATGTACAAATGGATTAACCCTTATTTGAATGACATTAAAATTTCGACTTTACGTTAAGCTTGTCGACAAAAATGCCAAACTATTATTCTTTCCTTTCTCCTCAACCAATCACAGCTCATACTTCCCAAAAAATAGTCAAGGGCGTGGCCGGCTGGCCTACAGCAACACTGCCCCTGTTTGGCACCCATTCTATTCTCATTCTCATTCTCATTTTTTTCTCTTTTTTCATTTCAACCACACATTCTTCAAATAAAATAATATTACACACAAATCTAAAACTTTTCATTACTTTTTCACCACACATTCTCCCATCAATCACTATTCCAAAAATTTTCATTCTCATAAAATGGGTGTCAAACATAGTGATAATCTATTATGTAACTCTTTAACGTACCTGTAGCAAGAATGCTTTATCTTAACGACACTTTTTCCCGAACAATGGCCAATTTTTTTACATATAGATAGGTGCGAAACAATGTGTAGACAATGAATGGACACCCAGCTTAATCCGTAGTATAGTGTAGTATAGTATTACAAGTTTGGAGGAAATCCTCAATTGTTTACGCTGATCACCCAACTTTAAATTATTTCTACTTGATCCCAATTTGCACTTATGTTTCTCTCAAGCTCGATATAAGTAGTTTAACTTATAAATCGATAAAAATCTGTTGTTGAATTAGTTGATCCATTAAAATGTGTGGTTAAAAATAAAGTTTGACAATTTATAAATTTTGTCAAATGGAAGCTAAGTTGTGGTGGGTAGAGTTTTTTTACTAAGTTGTGGTGGATAGAGTTTTTTTACCAGCGGTACAATAATTGTATAGTAATGACATATATATCGAAGAGAGATGCCACAAGTACAAACAGACCCAGGTTACACACATGGGGATGGGGACCACATTTTTTAAATACAGTGCGTGGGGTCCGTCGCTACAGTACAGGCCCCTGTGAAAAACTGTCATGTACGCAAGGCATTTCCCTATATTGAATAAGGTGGGTGCTAACTTTTTCACATTTTGTTCTTGACCTTAGCATCAAAAAATTTAGAAAAACGTTTCTTCTACGTAGTGAGGAAGTTATTTGATTGATGAAATTTTGATCTAATTAAATCTCTTTAAACCATTTATTGATAAACTATTATGTAAATTGTTATGTACGTGTAGCACAACCCAAAAAATTATCAATACAAATTGATCTTAAATCATAGGTTGTTGTCAAACGAGGATCTGCTTTGGTGCTCCAAGGGTTTTGTTCTATCAAACTCTACTTACGCTTACTCCATCTTCGGACCAGAATAACTAAACAATAGCATAAGTGATTGATGTATAGCACATGGTTTTGATCAAGTTGTCCATCCTTGCACTTTCGTTGCAACGTGCAAAATGCATCTTTGTTTTAGACGTTTCTTCTTAATACTTTGTAATACGCATTTTTTTTAAAAAAAAGTAAGTACTAATGATTTTCTAGAAATCCTCGCTATTGCTCACCTTTCATCCGATCCCCTCAACTATAAAAGTCTTACCGTAGGCATAACACATCGATCATAATAAATCGTGTTAATTTTTCTACTCTCCCTTTTTCTTTTCTTGATTTTATTAGGTGTGATGCACTGTTATTGCGAAAAAATGTTGGTTGGTGTACAATGTACACACACTAATCATGATTCTTGCTGCCTGAATTTGGCCATTCCTATTTACCTGACCCACAGTGTGACATGAATGGTACCAGAATAAGTGATTTCTAATTAATTCATCAAGGAATTTAAATTATTCCACTGGATCTAGGTGCAGTTTCAGTCAGCAAATGGTCCCATCTGCACACGGGGAAAAAAATGGTCACATTTTGATCTTTATTCAACTTAAAAAATATATTAGATTATGAAGTAGATGCTACAAATTACGTGCATTTCTATCAAGCGGGTCAAACATATTGGTAGTCAAATTTTCTTTTTAAATTAAATAATATATTTTGCCGAATGTGAAACAAATAATAGAATAGTACTTTGAAGGAATGCAAACGATGTAACTAATGGTCTATTTTAAAGATGATGTGTTCAATTTCACGAGAAAAGTCTCATCTTGCACATATTTTTAAAAGATTTAGTCCATGTTTGGTAGGGATAAAAATACAAATTTTAATTTAAGTCAAAATCAACATTTAATTTTAACTACATATTTTATGAGATCCACAACTTTTCGATCACACATTTCATTAAATTTTATTGAAGTCCATTAAAAATCTTATTTTAATTCCTACCAAATAAGAGCTTAAAGTGATTTGGTTGGATCCAACTATTTTTTTCATATTCTTGATGTGTATAGCTTGAAAGTTACATAGGAAAGTTTTTTATTCTCTCTTCAAAATTATGTAATATTTATTTAAAGGATAAGGCTGCATGTACCGAATTTTTTTACCGAATCTTTTACCTATTACTCACAATAGGGATGTAGACCACAGTGTCGAAATTTTTAAATACACGCGGGCCCTGCGCATTATGTGAGAGGGGGTAATCCATTATGTACAAATGGACTAACCCTTATTCGAATAACATTAAAATTTCGACTTTACGTTAAGCTTGTAGACAAAAATGCCAAACTATTATTCTTTCCTTTCTCCCCAACCAATCACAGCTCATACTTCCCAAAAACTAGTCAAGGGCGTGGCCGGCTGGCCGCCCATAGTGTTGTTGGGGTGGAGTGTTTCATTGGAAATTCGATGTTGAAAACTCCAACTTTGGGCATATTTAAGATCAAGAATACACGAAAGCATGGACGGATAGTGTAGCTTTCTGATGTTGATATACGCAAAATAATGAGCAAGTTGGCTACTAAAAGTTCCTACTTTTTTTCCACACGTGGGTCCAAAACATCTCCATCAAGGAAAAAAAAAAAAAAAGAAATCTTATCCATCGTAACGTGCAAGTTGTGCCAAACCCATATTACTCTTTCTCAAGCAATCGGGTTATTATTCATCCAATGATATCCAGTTTGATTGCATAGTCCATTTTTTCACAATGCTCATTACTAAAATACTCTTTCAAAAGTTTGTATCCAATGAATACATCTCACTGTTCTTTCCTTTCGTTATTTCTGTGCAAGATTACTAAAGCTCTACAATCATTCAAACTCATTGTTATAACGCATTGCAAGAATGTAAGGTTCAATGTGATCGTTGGATTAATAATTGACAAATCTTCTTGATGAATAAAACTCAACAAGTTGAATCAATATTTCCTTGTCAAAAGTAGAGAATGGATCTTGTCAACATAAACAAGTTACACAAAAGAGTGACTTCATATTTACTTCATAGAAACGATTATTCAACTCTTGAAACTACATATTCATAAAATAAGTCTAAACAAAAGTGATGTTTGTCATTTCTAGAAGATTATGCTGTGGCAGCGATCGTGAGGTGCACAGCTTATGAACAAATTATCCATATTGCGAACATCAACATATTGCCCGAATAGATTTGTTGGAAGAATGAATCCACCTATTGGCTCTCATAATTTGGAGCTGTTCTTCGCTTATTTTCATCAATTCCATTGCATTTACAATATCTAGGTTTCTCAAACACAACAACAAATGCCTTGATACCAAACAAAAATTTCGTTAAAATCTAAATTCACATAACACAGTTGTCATTTCCATCCATCCAGATTTTGTAATGTTTACAGATAGTAAGACGACAAGCTTTCTTATCCGTGACATCCATCACAATCTCTATACTATCTAACATTCCTGTATCTATCCGACAACCAAAGAAATTAGCAATTATTTCACAATCGGAACGTCTTCACAAGCTTTGTTGACCACATACGAACCAACCAACCAGCATCTCCTATTTTCACATCCGTAAACCTCCTTTTGCTTTTAGCTTCGGTTTCCTCAAAAGTTGACATCGACTCAGTACTCCTTAGAGGTGGTTGAGGATTTCCTGTCCCAGTTGATGCCTCCACAATTTGATTCACCATTTCCAAAACCTCGCTCATTTTTGGGCGTGTTTTTGGGAGTCTGGCCAAGCAACGGTTGGCTACAATTGAGAGCTTGTGCACAGATTTAAGCACATTCTTACTTTCAAGCTTTGGATCCAATATCATCTGAAACTTCTTAGCATCAGATAAATGCAGTTTTACCCATTCTAGGAGCTTCTGCTCGCTTCTGGGACGATTTCTATCCAATGGTCGTCTGCCTGTGATTAGTTCATAGAGAAAGACCCCATAACTCCACACATCACTCTTGGATGTTAAACGACCAGTTTGAATGTATTCAGGAGCTGCGTACCCCAGGGTTCCCACAACCTGATAACGAGGTATTTGTTAATACGAACTAGACCACAGAAGTAATCAAAAACTAATTAGATAATAAAAAATTCTCACGTCATTCCTTGAGGCAATATGTCATTATGTAGTTCAGAGTTCAGCAACAAGAATTCTTAATTCCACAGTTCTATACCCAATCTAAAAGGTCTGAAGTATAAATCAAGCAGAAAAGTTTTATTTATCCAATAGCACGTAAAACTTAAAAGTGAGGCAATATGTCATTATATAATTGACCATACCGCTGTTGATACATGTGTTAGTCCTTCTGGAGGACCCAACCGAGCCAATCCAAAGTCTGATAGCTTAGCATTCCATTGCTCATCTAGGAGAATATTAGAAGATTTGAAATCTCTGAAGATGATCTATATACAAAAGATGAACGTCAGACTAAATCATGTTAGAAGGGTTGCAAATTGTACTTCAAAACTTCTTTTATGCCTCCTAAATTAATAAGGTTTTTTCAGGAAAAAAAGTGATCATGATTACTATAATGAAACTAAGTGCAAAAGAAAAAACCAACATTCAATAGGAAAAATAATGACCTCAAATAGTGATTATTCTTTTACACCTTCCTATATGAATACGCTTATCAAAAAAAAAAAAGTGATTATATTACCATAATGAAACTAAGGTTGTGTTTGATTGCATTTATTTTCCATGAAAAATGTCAGTTTCCCACCCAAATTCCTACTTTGAAGTGTTTGATTGCTAATTTTTTCCATGGAAAATATTTTTCAATTTTTAAAAATATGCCTAATTTTCCTTGTTTTTAAGGAAAATATTTTCTTTGGGGGAAGTAGGTTTTTGTTTTCCTCAAAACAAGGAAAATATTTTATTTTCTAGGATGTATTTTCCATGTCAATAAAACACGCTTTAAGTGTCAAAAGAAATCAACCAACATTCAATAGAAAAAATAATGACCTCAAAAGGTGATTATTCTTTTACGCCTTCCTAAATGAAAAAAAAAAAAAAAAGAGGTGATTGAGCGTCTTTTTATGGCACCAAGTGGGAAAACAAATCGATCAACATTCAATAGGTAAAATGATGACCTGAAAATCCATTTCCTCGTGCAGGTATACTAAACCACGAGCAGCATCTTGGGCTATCTTCAGCCTCATAGCCCAAGGGAGGGATGTCTCTGACCTAGCTGATAAATGATCTTCGACGCTTTTGTTAGGCATGTATTCATATATCAAAAGCCGTTGGATTCCTCTCTCGTCATCCTCAGCACAGTAGCCAATGAGTTTCACAAGATTCGGATGTTCAACCACACCGAGGACATTCACTTCTGTCACCCATTCTTTATGACCCTGTATCATGTAAATCAGATATTAATCTCTATTAAGGAAGCAAAATCTGTTCCGATGTCTAATTGAAAGAAGTCATTATCCAATATAGTCAAATCAACTAAAAGAATTCTAATATACTCTAATTAACCACAAACTTAAAGAACTTGTGCAAAAAAGTCCATTTCTTAAATATGATTACAAATATAAAGTTTTTGCATGGTCAGATGTATCGTGAAAAAGTAATTTACGAATTTGAACATAAACCCTCAATTTTGGAACAATCGTCTATTTATTTGAGGATCTCCCTCTCTTCACCTGAAAAAAGTTCACATTTATCATCTTGCTCAGGTAATGTCACCATTTTTTTCGTCATTCACTTCTTCCTATTCAATATTCTGAATATTGAACCACTTAGGCAGCCATTTAATTTTTTCATTTACCACCATCCATCCAACAATATTAGCTTGATTTCAAAATTACAGTTTTTTATGCAGAAGTATTTTGACATTGACATTGAATGTAATTTTACTTATTTACCTATTTTTTAATTCAAAATTTCAAACATGCGATGAAATTAAGACAGGTTTCCTTTCGAATCTTTTCTTTTTGTATTGAAATAAAATGATTATAAATAAACCCATGTTGGTATCTTTTTATTAAATCGTGCCATGCCATACCACCACAGCTATATTAGTAATCTTAATCTTAATTTACAGAATACAGAGGTCAGAGTCTCTATTCAAATAGCTTAACGCTGTCAACCAACGACTTAAACGAGAAAACTTGTAATTTGGATAGATATTATTGCACTGCATAAATCAACAAGAGTTACCATCATTACCCCCAATCTTTTATAATGAAACTAAAACAAGAGAATACCAGAAACCAAAAAAAATAAAATAATAGGAACCTAGAGAACAAGAAAAACGTGAAAGGAAATCTACCTGCAGTCCTCTTCGACCTAGTTGTTTTATTGCCACATCAAGTTTGTTATCTGGATCTTCAGAAATCTTAACCGCACCCTTAAAAACACACCCAAACCCACCCTCTCCAAGCTTGGTAGACCCATTGAAATTTTTTGTCGCTTGTTTCAGCTCGGAAAAAGTAAAAGCCCTGAGATTACTGGGCCTGTCAGACAAAATTGGAAATTGGCTTCTTCCTCTGGACTCAGTGCTAGTGTCTGATGCATCCTGGGAATTAAAATCGGATCCAGATTGCCTCACTTCTCGATCAGTAAATGAGGATTGGGCAAAATTTGATTTTGTGGTCTTTGGTTCTTCCTTTCTATCTCCATAATGGAATTGGAAACACCTCATGGCCCTAACACTATTCAATACCCTTCACTGCAAATCCATGTGCGGAAGTAAAACTATATAATCTTGTAAGCGAAAATATGCAACAATCACACCATGGATAGTTACGAATCATTCACTTATTGTCTTGAACTTCGGGAAGAGAAACATTAAACGCGGTAAATTAATGGCAACACAGATTGATTTTCAAATAGAATCTCTTAAATGTTTGCTCACCATATACCAGCAAAACAACCTGTTATGTACAACAAGAACCTAATCAAACCAACAAAGTTCATGTTCAAAGGGATACCGAGAGTAATATATCTCGAGAACAGAATTTTGTAGCTTCAACTAAAGATTCTAAACCAGCCTAAAACATAAATCATTCCTTTAATTTACGTAATCTCTTCTTAACATAAAACATAAAGCTTTACAATAACAGGAGACTAAAGCCTTGTTCCCCAATTATTTGAGTCGGCCACAGAAACTTTTTTTGCTACTTTGTTCTGTGCATCTATTCGAATGGAAGATATCCTAAAGCATAACCAGTAAAAAAATAAAATCTTAAGCAACCCAATTTCAGTATAGTTCTCATTACAATCAAATTCTAAAAAAATAAAACGTCCGGAGATACAAGCTTCAAACTATAACAAGAGAAGGGGGGAATAAATCTCTGGGAAAAAGAACAAATATCAGAAATGTTTGCACGAGCTTCCCTGAATAAAATAAACAATTATTCAGATAAATAGTCTCTCTCTCTCTCTCAGAGAAATATAATCAGCCTCCTAGAATTCCAGCAAAGGCCACAACACACTTATCAGATTAAATTATTGCCTTGATTGTAGTATTTTTTTAAAGAAAAAAAAATTCATATCCAAGAAAAGAGATGCTGCATGAAATCCACATCATATACCAGTCAGTGATTCATTCATTTTGTGCCTTCATAAACCTTTCAATATAACTATTATAACAAAAATTTCAGTCACGGACGCAAGATATACACAAATAATTCTCAACCATATTCAATTCTGAATCATATCCATCAAAAAATAAAATTTGATTTTAACTTTCAGGCTTCTCCGAAATAAAATAAAAAACCCAACTTTCACTATTTTTTAGAAGACCAAGAATTTACATATTCCACATAAATTACAAAAAAATCTACTAAACCACATTAAAGTGCCAGCGAAAAATCTTCCCCAACAAGACTTTACCTTCAAGTTTGTTATGGAAGGATACCAGAGGCGCAGATTGACGTTCTTTCTTGCTTTCGCAAATGGCCCAAAAAAAAAAAAAAATTTTAATCAGTAATTGTGTGAACAGAGTCAAGAAATGCTTCCAGAAAAGGCTACAGGACACACAGTTAGACAACTCATGAGCAATTCTTCAACATACGGCACCAGTGCCTTTGAAAAGTCTAGCAAACAATTATTAATATAGACCATGTTCCTATCTGCCCAGTGCCCATCGTAGATGAAAGGAATAAATATTTATTTACATATGGATACAAAATACAGGAGGGTAGAAAATATTCATGTGGAATAAAATAGCGAGAATGACATAAAACTGGAAGCAAGGTATGCATGCGGATTTTTTTTTTATTAAGAAAAATTTAGTGTTTGAGAGAACCATCAAGAACTTGGGTGTTGGGTCAAAGGTAGAATGTTTGAAATTGATTTAATAGTAATATTTGTATTCATATCTGCTTATTTCTGTTTTAAAAATTGAAAAGCAACTTTAAAAACGATCAATTTGGTAGAAAAAATGTGTTTTGAATAATAATTTTAAAAAGCATATGTGATTAAAAAGTAAAAAAATTATATACGCGTACAATATTTTATTATATAAATGTATAATTTAAAATAATTCTATAACATATCATAAAATAAATTAAAGAACGCTGCAGCAGCACTAAGCCGCAAAACATAGAGTTAGAAGGTAGGTTGTTACATTCTGCAAATGAATGCTTGACCGTAGCCCGTAGGTAACTCTTTGTCAACGTTGAGGGGAACAAATTTACCTATTAGTGGGCCCCTTAATTTATGGTTGACTTAAGTTTATGTTAATGTATTGGATAATGTGAAAAATAATATCATATAGATCATCTAGAATTTATATGACATTATTTTCTTCTTTGAGATATTTGTAAGATAAAATATTATTTCTGACTCTCAAAATATTAAGAGAAAATTGCAGTCACGGTACCAAACTTTTTACATTTTTACAGACTTTGCTCAAACATTTGTTTTGTACCATCCACGGTACCAAATCTTTAAAAAACTTGCACCTACAGTCCAAATGGATGGTTGACCGTTAGTTGATCAAGAATAGTAGATTTGACCAAATTTTAAAAGAGCAAAATGACAACTTTCCATTTTCTCATATAAAAAAAGAACTAAAATAAAATCATTAAATCAAAAATCATAAAATCCTATCACCCCATCCCACCTACCCCACCCCACCCCACCTACTAAACCACATTAAAGTGCCAGCGGAAAATCTTCCCCAACAAGACATTACCTTCAAGTTTGTTATGGAAGGATACCAGAGGCGCAGATTGACGTTCTTTCTTGCTTTCGCAAATGGCCCAAAAAAAAAAAAAATTTTAAATCAGTAATTGTGTGAACAGAGTCAAGAAACGCTTCCAGAAAAGGCTTCAAGAAATCAGTTAGACAACTCATGAGCAATTCTTCAACATACGGCACCAGTGCCTTTGAAAATTCTAGCAAACAATTATTAATATAGACCATGTTCCTACCTGCCCAGTGCCCATCGTAGATGAAAGGAATAAATATTTATTAACATATGGATACAAAATACAGGAGGGTGGAAAATATTCATGAGAATAAAATAGCGAGAATGACATAAACTGGAAGCAAGGTATGAATGCGGATTTTTTTTTATTAAGAAAAATTTAGTGTTGAGAGAACCATCGAGAACTTGGGTGTTGGGTCAAAGGTAGAATGTTTGAAATTGATTTAATAGTAATATTTGTATTCATATTCTGCTTATTTCTGTTTTAAAAATCGAAAAGCAACATTAAAGACGATCAATTTGGTAGAAAAAATGTGTTTTGAATAGTAATTTTAAAGAGAATATTTGGTTAAAAAGTAAAAATAATTTATATATACGTACAATATTTTTTTATATAAATATATAATTTAAAATAATTTTATAATAAATCATAAAATAAATTAAAGAAGTCGCACCAGCACTAAGCAGCAAAACATAAAGTTAGAAGGTAGGTTGTTACATTCTGCAAATGAATGCTTGACCGTAGGTAACTCTTTGTCAACGTTGAGGGGAACAAATTTACCTATTAGTGGGCCCCTTAATTTACGGTTGACTTAAGTTTATGTTAGGGTTCGTTTGATTGTAAAGGTGGAAAATGGGTGGAAAGAAAATGTTTTATAGAGAATTGATTTTCCTAGAAAATGTTTTACTGGGAATTGTAATTAATTGTGTTTGATTGGTATAATTTTCCATGGAAAATGTTGAAAGTTTGGTATCCATTTGACTTCTTTTTTTATGGAATTTGTCCATTAAAGTGATAATTTTTTCTACTATTGGGTCTAAAATTTGTTTCAATTGTAAAAAAAAAATTTTGAAAAAAAAATTTGAAAAAAAAAAAATTTACCATACCGAATATTTTTCGTTTGACTTTGTTTTGCATGGAAGTTGTCAATAAAAGTGAAATTTTTTTTAACCATTGTATCTAGAATTTGTTCCCATTGCAAACAAAAAAAAAAAAAGGGGGAAAATATTTTCCCACCAAATAGGTGGGAAAACAAAATCAAGCTTTTGTGCATCAAATGATTGTACCTAGAAAAATGTGGAAAATGTTTTCCTAGGAAAATTTGTGCTATCAAACACCACAATTTGGGGAAAATGGAAAACTTTTTCCTACTTCTATGGAATTCCTTGGCTATCAAACATAGCCTTAATGTATTGGATAATGTGAAAAATAATATCATATAGATCATTTAGAATTTATATGACATTATTTTCTTCTTTGAGATATTTGTAAGATAAAATATTATTTCTGACTCTCAAAATACTAAGAGAAAATTGCAGTTACGGTACCAAATTTTTCACATTTTTGGAGACTTTGTCCAAACATTTGTTTTGTACCATCCACGATACCAAATCTTTAAAAAACTCGCACATATAGTCCAAATGGATGGTTGACCGTTAATTGACCAAGAATAGTAGATTTGACCAAATTTTAAAAAGGCAAAATAATAAATTTCTATTTTCTCATATAAAAAAAGAACTAAAATAAAATCATTAAATCATAAATCATAAAATCCTATTATCTTCTTCAACCACCCCATCCAACTCAACCCAACCCAAAACCAAAATTGCCGGCACAACCACCACCACGACAGCCGGCACCACCGCCTACCAACAACATAAAAGAACCGCCGGCAATTTTGGTTGTCAATAAAAGAGGGGGGACGCACAAAACAATCCGGACGAGAAAGGCAAGCAAGCAGCATTATTGTGATCAACTCCACGAGCAATAATCGATCGATTAAAATCTGAACGAGAAAATGGAGCCTAGATAGTCTTTACATATCCTCCAGAGTGATTGGGTTTTTGATTGATGTCAAATTGGGTTTCTTCCCGAAGATTTGATTCTTCGAAATACACCACGGTGAATTACTGGTGCACTCGAGTAACTCCGGCTTGTTCGACAGCTCACTTGGTACATAATACACAGTGAAAATCAAAAGAAGAACTGCACTGAAAATGAAAAACAAGCATCCGACGAAACTTTTCCCTTCCATTTCTCACTATTTTTTAGTGTACTGCATTCGCAAAATGTGGTGGTGGGAGGAGGCAACGACGGTCGTGGTGGTGGGAGGATGAGGCGGTGGTGCCGACAGTCGTGGTGGTGGTTGTGCCGGCAATTTTGGTTTTGGATTGGGTTGGGTGGGGGTGAGGTAGGGTGCTTGGAGAAGATAATAAGGTTTTATGATTTTTGATTTAATGATTTTATTTTAGTTCTTTTTTATATATGAAAAAATGGAAAGTTACCATTTTGCTCTTTTAAAATTTGGTCAAATCTACTATTTTTGATCAACTAACGGTCAACTGAACGAAAACCATCTATTTGGACTGTAGGTGCGAGTTTTTTAAAGATTTGGTACCGTGGGTGACATAAAACAAAGGTTTGGACGAAATCTGCAAAAATGTGAAAGGCTTGGTACCGAGGCTGCAATTTTCCCAAATATTAATCTTTATATATTACAGATAATATTAGCATTCTTGTAGTTATTGGTTGAGTAACTAAGTTAAGCCCTATTTGGTGCACATTTTGAGTCCAGTAATGTGTTTTTTTTGTTTGATGTGATGGGGAATATGTGATTAAAAAAAAAGTTATTGATGTGACGAAAAATATTATTTTATTGAAAAATATGTGGTTAAAAATGAGTAGAAAAATGAAAATAATAATGCGTCTCAAAGAAGGGCCAAGTGGAAAAGATATACTCAAATGTAATTATAAACTCATTCCATTCAACGTATTTTACACAAATTTATTATCTAAAGTTGAATATGTTGTTATGCTTCTCTAATGTGTTGTACTAAATAAATTGATTGTACTCGTAGTTATTTGTATTCGCATGCGATTGAGAATCTTATCGTTAGCTACTTAATTTAAAGTGACAATGTACAATAGCCTTTGGTTAGATATTTTTATCGTCGTGAAATTATCATTTATATTAAGAAGTCATCAATTCTTGCATAGCATTGGTAAATTCGAGACAAACGCCTTTGTGAAGATGACATGGTAGGGCAAGTCCAATGTCTAGTTCCCTTATAATGCCACGAATTTTTAAACAACTTAGTACTTAAACAATTGAACAAGTGTTGTGGGTGGAATTGAAAATGGATGAACAAATATATATTTATAAGCAAAACAACATGGTTTATTTTGAAGGTATAGTAAAAATTAATTTTAAAATAAGTAAATTATTTTTTAAAATCTGAATTATAAAAATAATTATTTTAAAACTTACTTGAGCAAATATAAGCTTATAAGTAAAAGTATTAGCAGCCAAACATTGATATCGGACGGTTGGATTTGGACATCGCAGAACAGTAAATGGCTATGGGGTTGTAACAAACAAACTCTCAAATTAAGTCACACACCAGTCATTAAAACGTAAGCACAATTCCTTGTCCACAAATAGAGCCATTAATTTCTCACAGCCAATTCTTCCTCCAAAAACCATGGAGCTCCGTCCCAGTCCCAACTCCCAAATTCCACCTCCCAAATTTTGCCCAAAAAAGCTTCTCTTTTCGTTTCATCTCCTAAATTCTCCTAATTTACACTTAAACGATCCAATTCAAAATTCTGGGCACTTATCACTTATCCAATTTTTTCATTTTATATTGGCATTTTTCAGGCATCGGGATAATATATACATGCACACTGATATTTGTTGGATGATTTTCCCTATGTATGAGCATTGGGTTTATTTGAATGATTGAAATGAGTGGAACGAGGATTAATGACTGTCGACTTCAATATTTGTTTCTGATTTTGCTTCTTGTTCTGGGCGGCTGTTTCCGGCGGGTTTGGTGTGTGGACGGGGATGAATACAGTCGGACCAAGAACCCGACAGTGGTACCACTTGTTACATCTCTCATCTATAGCCAAATTTCGAATCTTACTAAGATATTCAACAAGGATATCACCAAGAGCTTGGGATATTGCACAAAGGATGTGTGAGTTTAAGTGAATTACCTGAATTTTATATGTTTGTAACTAAACCATTTGGATATATTATACCATTTGCTAATTTTATCTTCTCTTTCCAGGGATGCTGATTTGAACGAGGCATTTAATTTTGCCGGCAATTTGGATTTTTTGAATAAATGTGTTATGCAAACCAAAGGTAATTGATCTTCACTACTGAAATTGTACTTCTTTATGCACAGGCTTGGCTGATAAGGGATCTAAATAAATTTTTTTTTGGCATCATATGATCGAAAATGCGATGAATATAAAGATTTTTTCAATAACTAGATTTTGTTAGCAAACTCGTGAGAGGTACCTCTGTATTGCACTAGGTAGGTTGAATGTGTCTAAACACTCATGGTAGATGATAATCATGTTTTTTGGGCTGACTTCATTTCTTCAAAGGGACAATACCTGAAGCACTCTTCCCAATGTTTTACAAATGAAATGAAAGTAGATTTTGATGGATAACAACAGGAAGTTATATAAAATAGAAATCCATCGTTCTGTATTGAGAAAATGTACATTAATCTAAATCTAATGCTTCTATAAGCAGCTCTGCTAGAGTTCTCTGTCACTTTAGTTTCTGATGGTCTATTGCTCAAATCAACAGATGTTACCCAGAGAATGTGTACAGCAGCGGAGATGAAGTTCTATTTTACTAGTATTATGGACACAAAGTCAGCTGATGCTCAATTTTTAAAACCCAACAGGAACTGTAATTTAACCTCATGGGTTCCCGGATGTGAGCCAGGGTGGGCTTGTAGTGTTGCTCCAGATCAGAAGGTTAACCTGAAAAACTCTAAGGACATTCCCCTTCGAACTCGCGACAGCCAACCTTGTTGTGAAGGTTTTTTCTGCCCCCGGGGTCTCACTTGCATGATCCGTAAGTATATTTGAATCCTTCTATTCTTTCATTGGCCCGCTATTGTTTTCTACGTATAGTAAGCCCATGTTTGACAACCATTCTTTTGAGTTTTTTGAAGAGAACGAGTTTTTAAATAGTAATTTCTCGAGAGAATGTGTGGTTAAAAAGTAGGGAAAAGTTTTGGGTTTAGATGAAGAATATTTTATTGTGAGAATGTGTGGTTGAAAATGAGTATGAGAAAAAAAGAGTTTTGAAATGGTTGTCAAACATGGGCTAAATATCATGTTTTTAGTGCTTCTAGTTTTAATGAGCAACTTCACGGGTTAAATAAATTTTCAAGTAGCTTCTTGAGACTTGGATATCTATATAATAGCAATCCAGATTCTAGCACAAACTCATTTATTTTTAAGAAAATTCAGTGTGAAAGTTAATATCCTGTTCAAAACATAGATAGAAAGCAACTTCTTTACTACGAAGTTCCATTATGTGCTTAATTATATTGCTTGAACTAATTCTGCATTAACTTCTTACATGATGTAATTTGGACCGAGTTTATAGGTCCTGCAGTTAGAGTAGTTCAACATGTGAGAATAGCGTAGAAAAGATGGTGGGCGTGAATAATATGTTGGGGTGCAGCTGCTTACACGACTTAGACAAAAGTGATTTATGCATCTCTTTAATATTGGGAGTCCACACTGAGAAAGATGAGTTATGCCACTTTGTGTTTTATATTTCTCAACGGAGGATGAGCAGCAGGTTGACAGCCAGTCAGTGTGTTTTGGGCAGTGATATTGTTGCATTGCAAATTGCATCTCTTGGAAAGGGATGCCATTCCCATGGGCTTAATACCATTGGCTTGAGTTCCTTGCTCAAGGCTCCTCAGTTCATCTTTCTGAACATGCATCTAATTAGCCAGTGAAGCTCATAATAAAGACTTAATTGGTCCATGGAGCTAGTGCTTTTATTCAGTTTTTTAGGAGTGTCATCTCATTCCTTTGAGGTTTTCCTTAAATCTAGAACAAAGATGAGCGAAGTTTCATCTCTAAAACTTACAGACAACAAGCTCTTGATTTCTTTACATGCGAATTAGTTTTTAAGGGTTAACATAGATGACGTTGTATCCAGAGACAAGTTTTGATCTCTCTGTAAAATTCTTATCTAAATGGTCTTTTACGTTTGTACATTGATGACCATGTGGAAAAACTTTTCTGGATCTAAAAGATATTCCTAGATGTGAACTAGATACTCTAGTTTTTGTTAATGAATCATTTGAAGATAATTAACGATCAAATTCTTGCAACTAACTCGTATGTGTGTTGTTGTCTTGTCATTGCAGCTTGTCCTCTAGGTTCTTATTGCCCACATGCAAATCTCAATAAAGCCACTGGCATATGTGATCCGTAAGTTTATTTCCTTCCAGGGGTTTGCTTTTCCATATTATTGGGGCGTTTATATGATCCGTTGATACATGTGTTGGTAAAGAAAATTTTCAGATATGCATATCAACTCCCACCTGGTAAGGGAAATCACACATGTGGTGCAGCAGATACATGGGCAGGTGTAGCAAGTAGTGAGGATATATTTTGTTCAGCAGGATTTTACTGTCCAACTACCACCAAAAAGATTACATGTACCAAGGGGTATTTATCTTGAGCACAAAACTTGTTGCACTAAAGTATTTCAGCTATAAGCACTAACATATAAGAATTAGTTGTTCCCTACACTTCTACTGGTAATTTGACATCAAAATTTACTGATGTTCAACTTTTATGCAATTCCAGACATTATTGCAGGATGGGCTCTACAGGCGAAAAAGGTATCTTATGAAAACTAGTAGATCCATCATTATTTGTTTACATGAACTATGGGCACCTCAATGTCAAAATTTTGTACTTTTCAAGGATTTAGGAATGAGCTTTTCCATAGGGCAGGCTGGGCATTTAGCTCAACATGTTGAATTCAAAAAGAATCTTTATACTAATAGTAACTAGTTCAACATAATAGGCCATAAAAGGGAGCTACAAGCCTTTTAGTTCTCCTAGATAAATGTTAAATCCTTCTCAATATAGACTGTTGTTTCTCTTAAATTACAGTTGTCCTGAAACATCGAAGAGATACATTGATAGTATTTTGTTATTTATAAATAACCTCCACAATGGAAAAGGCATTTTTTTTTTTGATAACCCTGGATGTCCGGACCAACTTGCGTGCACCTCGACTAATCCTACGGGGTACTGAAGTTTACGGCCTGATACTCACCTCAGTAGCCCTGAGGGGACTTGAACTGGTGATCATTCGAAAGCAAATCCAAGGTCTGATCAATTGAACAATCCCTCAAGGTTAATGGAAAAGACATTTCTTAAAAACATTTAATGTGCATACCGTTCTTTAAGCGGATTGCTGTCCAGTTTATGGTGTTGACATTTAAACAATAATGAGATCAATGCGAGGACAGCATTTGTAATCGAATGGAGTTGTCATTATATTTGTTTAGAGGAAAGAATTGTCATTATATTTGTTTAGAGGAAAGAAATTGATTAGTTCTGTTCTAATTTGAAAATTGTATGGAATCTTCTTGACCTCTTCGTTTCATTGTGTGCCAATATTTAGAAATATTCTTCCTTTGATTTTATAATAAAGAATAATGTTTGTTTCACCCTGTCATTTTAATATTTTGCTGAATATTTGCAGCTTGCTTCAAGTTGAGTAGTTGTAATCCAAATACATACAAACAGAACATGCATGCCTATGGGTTCATACTCATTGTAAGTGAGAATTTATTTGGCTATGCAGCCCAATGCTTAATACATAATGATGTGCTTACCTTTGTCTGACAAATGGGCTCTGGAACTTTACCAATTTAAAATAGTTCTCTAAGGAAGTTCAAGATGGTAGCAGACAACATCGGAAAATCGCATTATCCAAATAAATGAAAGTCCTCAAGATAAAAGAAACCAATTTTTGAATTGTAGCTGCTTCCAGTTAAAACTGATTTTTACTCGCACAGGGTGCATTGAGCTTGATACTTATGGTGTTCTACAATTGCTCTGATCAAGTCCTCTCAACTCGACATGCAAGACTGGCTAAGTCTAGAGAAAGGGCTGCTAGAAGTGCTCGAGAAACTGCACAAGCAAGAGAAAGGTGGAAAATTGCGAAAGATGTTGCAAAGAAGCGAACTGCAGGCTTGCAACAACAGTTGTCACGCACATTTTCACGTAAAAATGGTGTAGAAGCTAGCACTAATGAATCATCGCTTCCACCTAAGTTTCCAAGTAATTCAAGTAAACCTAAACCTGCTGGAAAAGAAAAGAAATCAGGCAACCTCACAAAAATGTTGCAGTCAATTGAAAATGATTCAGACAGTCACGAGGGTTTTAATCTGCAGATTGGGGACAAGAATATCAAGAAGCAAATGCCAAAGGCAAAACAGTTGCATACTAAGAGCCAAATATTTAAGTATGCATATGGTCAACTTGAGAAAGAGAAAGCTATGGAGCAAAAAAATAAAAACTTGACCTTCTCGGGAGTAATCTCAATGGCCACAGATACAGATATCAGGACTAGGCCTACAATTGAGGTTGCTTTCAAGGATCTTACCATAACTCTCAAAAAGAAACACAAACATCTCATGAGGAGTGTGACCGGGAAAATTTTGCCAGGTCGAATATCTGCAGTCATGGGTCCATCAGGGGCAGGGAAAACAACATTTCTTTCTGCTGTGGCAGGAAAGAGCACTGAATGCACCATGTCAGGTTCTATTCTTGTAAATGGAAAGCCTGATTCCATTCATTGTTACAAGAAGATCACTGGTTTTGTCCCACAAGATGATATTGTTCATGGAAACTTGACTGTAGAAGAGAACCTCCGCTTCAGTGCTCGGTGCAGGTATATTACCTTTAGATCATATTGCATGCCTAGTTCAATTGTCACCAGAATAAAATATTTGGTTACTTAAAAATTCAAGAAGATAATAAGGTTGCATTTCATTCTGAAGACTTAATATCGTGTAGTATAACTTAACTTTTCAATAATTATATCTGGTTTTTTGCTCGAGTTCTATACTCTCTTAATTTTCAATAAGAATTGGGTTAGCAGATATTTTGTATTATAAATAAAGTAGGAATCTCCTCATTCGTTAAGTCTTTATGTCATTGATCATATTTTTATTTCAACGCTGTAAGAAATTACATGAAATGAATTTTGTGAAAAATATTGCTCTCGGTCTTGGTATATCACAGAATAGGCTATTCTTTCATGCTGTATTTGTATAAAGAAATGATTTTTTTTCCTTTCTTAGCCTCGCCGTGTCGCTCAGCTTCAAATTTTTTCCATATTTTTTTCTTTTATTAATTTAGCATCTTGTTCATTTAACTTTTTATCTCGTGATTGAACTGTCTCCTATTTGTTGGCTTCAACACTATGAAGGCTTTCTGCAGACATGCCAAAACCCGACAAAGTTCTTGTAGTCGAAAGAGTTATTGAGTCTCTGGGACTTCAGTTGGTGAGAGATTCGCTGGTTGGGACTGTAGAGAAGCGAGGTATCTCTGGAGGCCAGAGGAAAAGAGTAAATGTGGGGTTGGAATTGGTAATGGAACCTTCACTACTGATCTTGGATGAGCCCACATCTGGCTTAGACAGTTCATCCTCCAATTTACTTCTTAGAGCTCTTCGACGTGAAGCTCTTGAAGGAGTTAACATCTGCATGGTTCTGCACCAGCCAAGGTAGGTCTATTTGCTCTTATTTCTCTTGGGAACCAAAGTATGCTATAAAATCGCTTTATTAAAGGGAAAACTTTATGCAACTATCTAGTGAACCTACCAAAAATTGGGAGAATTTGAAAAGTGCAGATTGCCTTCTGTAGTGAGAGAATAAATCAATAAATGCACCATGAATCCTAACAACGCAATGTGAAAAGTTCCTTGTAGGTTTACCAACATCTATTCATATTACTGACTAGAATCAAACAGCATTTGACTGTTAAGTTTGATATTAGGTTAAAAACACTGTTAGTCGCTCAAGTTACAACGAAGCTTCATGTTAGTCACAGAACTTTATTTTGTTCCAGAGTGGTCACTGATCTCTACACTCAATTAAAATTTGTTAGCTTTTCTAATGGAATGTGTTACGTGGTCGATGGAATTTGACGAGGAGTCAATATGAAGGTCTTCCACGTCAAAAAATTTTTACTTACAGAATTTATGCGAGTGACCAAGTTGAAACGAAAAAAAACTCTAGTGACCACTTTGGCCCAAAATAAAGTTTGGCAACTAACATGAAACTTCGTTGTAGTCAGGTGACTAACGAGTTTTATATGAGTGACCAAACTGAAATGAAAAACAAACTTAAGCGACCACTTTGGCACAAAATAAAGTTTGACAACTAATATGAAAATTTGTTGTATCAAGTGACTAACAGTGTTTTTTACCCTTTGCTATTCTTTGCAAAAATATGTACCAAGAAATGATGGCAGAGCTCATATACCTCAGTCCTAGAATCCTATCTACCAAGTTGTTCCTAAGCCAATAAACTGAAGAGTATTTGGGAGGACAATCCCTATTGCCAGTGGCAGATGCTAGATTCTGAGCTTGAGGGTGCACCATATTTGGGGATATAAGAATATAGAAACCTTTTTAGAGGGTGGAATGGGGGAGGGACACTGGGAATGAAAGTACTTAAATGGTAATTCAATTTGAGAGGAAATATATAAAAGTACAATGTTCACCCCTACCATCTCTGTAATGATCTGAAGTGGCCTCATTTATTTCTTTATAAGTCATTTATCTGCGCTGTAATGCTACTGCAGATGTCATGATTTGTCTTTTTCTGCCTCAGCTATACCTTGTACAAGATGTTTGATGACTTGATACTTTTAGCCAAAGGTGGTCTTACCGTGTATCATGGACCTGTGAAAAAAGCAGAAGAATACTTTGCGAGCATAGGAATCACTGTACCAGAGCGTGTCACTCCTCCAGATCACTTCATCGACATTCTCGAGGGTATAACAAAACCCGGTGCAGGTTTAACTGCTGAACAGCTACCTGTCAGATGGATGCTTCATAACGGATACCCTGTACCTCCAGATATGTTGCAATTGTGTGATCAAATTGGTTCTTCCTCTAATGGTGGAAGTACTCATGGAGCTCCAGAAAAATCTTTTCCAGGAGATGCATGGCAGGATAATCGAGATCATAAACCGCTTCATTTCTTAAAACCCTATGACTTGTCTAATCGAGTTACACCTGGTGTACTTCGGCAATATAGATATTTTCTTGGAAGGTACTTAATCTCATTTTTTTTTTCAGTGTCATCTGTAGATCTACTTGCCTTTCAGTTTCTCAAATTGACATGTTGCTGTTAAAAATTACTTACATTACACGCACATGAAACTTTTGAGTCTTCAAAATTTGCAGAGGTTTTATTTGTGTGACTATCTAAATTGGAAGCCCTACACATGGCAGGGGTGGTTAGTATCTTCACCACCCAGCCATTTCTCAACTTCGTTAATGTCTTTCACTTTCATGGTATTTGACCCCCATTATCCCAAAAAAAAAAATTTCTTTCCCTTATTTTCAAACCACACAATCTTCTATAAAATAATATTACACATAAACCAAAAACTTTTCCTTCTTTTTCAACCACACATTTTCCAAAAAAATACTATTCCAAAAATTATAATTTGAAATAATGGGGGCCAAACGGGGGCTTATTTGTTTTTTGAGTAAGTATTGATAATTTCTATGTGAGCAATTGTCAGGTACTAAACTACACATTGTTTGTTACCTGGTTATTAGTTGTTGATGATTTATTATGTCCTTTTACATGAGTTTGTCTGAGTGTGCTGGTATGTCACGAACTTCTTCAGGAGTATCAAGCAGCGACTTCGAGAAGCTCAGTTGCAAGCAGCAGATTTTTTGATCCTTTTGCTCGCTGGAGCATGTTTAGGAACTCTCTCTCAAGTGAAAGGGGACACCTTTGGGTATCATGGTTATATGTATACGATCATTGCTGTGTGTAAGTAGCCTTTTCACTGATGATGTGGCCCCAGCATGTTTTTACTGATTTCTTAACATAAACAGAGGGTTTACTTGTTGGACCTTGCACGTGCATTGTGCTGTGTCATTCACTTTTTTACTTTGTAGCAATGCCATTGAAAATTGATATAGCCCCTGTTTGGTGAAGTTTAAAATTAGATTTTTAGCAGATTTTAATAAAAGTTGATGAAGTGTGTGATTAAAATGTTGTGGATGTCATAAAATATATGGTTAAAATTAATTGTTGACTTTGACTTTAATAAAAAATCTAGATTTTAATTTCTATCAAACAGGGGCATATTAAATTTTTCTTCACATCTGATAAGTGTTGCTTGTACTTTCACGATTTCTAAAACTTGTGAGATGCGTTGCTAAAAAGATTCATGACCTCTCTGGAGAAACCGACATACCGTAATAGTCCTTATATTCAAATTTTTGGCATTTATGATTTATGTGATATTAATGATTCCCTCTCTGTTTATTTCTTAATTTCCCATTTGCAGCACTCCTGTGCAAGATTTCGGCTTTAAGGTCATTTTCATTGGACAAATTACACTACCGGCGAGAGAATGACAGTGGCACAAGCAGTCTAGCATATTTTATGGCTAAGGATACAGTTGATCATTTCAATACAGTTATCAAGCCTTTGGTTTTCCTTTCTATGTTCTTTTTTTTCAACAATCCAAGATCAACTTTCATGGATAATTATGTTGTTCTGCTCTGCCTTGTATACTGTGTAACTGGCATAGCCTATGTGTTTGCCATCTTCTTTCCACCTAGTCAAGCCCAACTGGTACACTGCAAGTTCATATTCATCATAAAATCATAGTTTAATATTATATAATTTTGTATAATTTTCTTATGCTACAAATTCTCTTGGATGCAGTGGTGTGTGCTTCTTCCTGTTGTTCTTACTCTCATTGCGAATCAAGGTAAAGATGATAAAATTGGGAAGTATCTAGGCAGTTACAGTTATCCAAAGTGGGCTCTGGAAGCTTTTCTCATTGCGAATGCTCAAAGGTCAGCAATAAATTGCCTTCATCTTGATATGTCAATTGGCTAATTGCTGGAAAACTGCATGATATCTATATAAGCACGTGATTACTAGATTGCACACAGGAATTAATGTGAATTGCCTACCTTTTCATTGCCGATATTGGTTATACTGACTCGAATCGTGTTCATAAGTTTATTTCATATATGTATAGGCATACATCTTTGTCGAAATTTATCTTCGTTTTCTCCTCAGATACTCCGGAGTGTGGCTGATAACTCGCTGTGATACATTAAACGAATTGGGATACAGTGTTCAAAATTGGACTTGCTGTCTAGTTTTACTCATAGTCACTGGTATAGGTTGTAGGTTGTTAGCTTTCTTTTGTTTGTTGACTTTCGGAAAGAAGTGAATTCAAGAATCATTCTATGTCGATTATACTTGTGTAGAAAAAGCGGACAACGTAGTTTTGGCAGCCATGTATCCTAGATTATCATTTAGGATTCCATTTGTATTGGTACAGAAATTTTCTTGGCCATAGCCCATGGTTATTTGAATCCCTTGTATATATCATAGGGATGTTTTGTTTTTAGCATCTTTTGTGGATTTTTTTTTTTCCTTCCACAGATGGGGGGAAAAAGGTGGACTTTATTCTGTCTTGGGTGCCGGTTTTCCCTTCCTTGATCGATTTATTTCAATTCTTGAGATTTGATTTTTGCTTGTGCATCTATATTAACAGGGATTTGTTATTTTCTTTTTCTTTTTAAATTTTTTTGATCCATAATCTATTTATCTTCGTAGAGATTTGATATTGTTTTCGTGACAAATCATTTACTTTGCTACATATGTGATGTGATGTGTCACATGCATCTTGAAGAAACTTTTTAAATTTAAAGAACATCTTATGCACAATATGAATGTTTCTCCTTGTACAGTCCTTAATGGACTGTACATTGTACAACCCACACTGATTAGTGTGGGCCCCACTGATTAAGAACTGTACATGCAGCAGATCTCTGCACAATATAGAGCCTCTTCAAACTTGAAGAGTAAATTTTTTTCACACGCTCCTAAAAATCTTTATTTTTGGCATTTTTTGTTATTTTTATTTTACTTTTTCAACAATCATTTTTTGTTTTTTTCTGACTTCTCATATATTCAAACAATAATTCAAGAAGTAAAATATTAAAACTTACAATTTATTAAATGTACTCGATGTAAAATACAAATACAGAGTGAGTTTCACTTCCAAATATAGAGTCAAATTCACTCTTGGACCTCATTTTATGTGTTGATTCTTTGAAATAAATGTTATTTTATAGTATTTAATTATTTTCTATTTATAAAGAGTATCTCATGTATAATCGATCTTTAAATTTATAGAGTAAAAAATTTAAGGATTAATCTACTTGTAGATAGGTGTGTACATAAGCGTGTACATAATGTGAGTGGTGGAGCCCACGATACGGTAGCGTAGGCCCCACCCTCACTCACATTATGTACACGCAGCATTGCTCAAATTTTAATAACAATATTCTATATTTTGACCTTTTTTTTTATACAACAAACATCTATTATTTTTCCCTCATTTTTTATTTAACATATTTTTTAAAATGTTGGTGATCAATTAATTCAAATATAGTTTGAATACTTTGAGAGGTGGAATATTGAAATTTGTAATTTATTAAATTTAATTATTAGAAAGTAAGAATACAAAGTGAATTTGGCTCTCCAACTCATAAGAAAGCTTCGCACACATGGGAGAATCATTCACTCAATTAATGACTTGTGGTCTCACTTGTATAATAGTTAATATCCACTCCACTTTACTCTTTTATTTTTTTTCAAATAATACTATCTAACAGGTGCTAGAATAATAACGTATGTAACAATTAAGTGACACTAAGGGGATGTATTCAATTGAAATTTAAAAAATTTAGAGGTATTTAATGTAAACTTGTTGAGACCCTCTAAAAATAATAGTGTATTCAATTGAGACTTTATAGACTTTTAAAAAATTTCTAAAAGTTACGGTGTAATTAATTAAAATCTTTTTGAAAATCTCTATAAGTCTTGGAGCATTCAAATTTTAATGACTTTTATAATAATCTCTGGAATAATAACTTTTAAGTAGAAAATACTAAAATAAAATATCAAAATTTGTCTTCATTAATCACAAGATTTTCCCTTTTTTCCTTCTATAAACATTAGAGTTATGACTAAAATTTATTTTTTCACTTGATTATATTTGTTTCTATTTTTCTTTATCTCTATTCTATTGTTTATTTCTATTTTCTATGAAAAAATTAAATTGGATTCTTGTAACTTTTTTTCTTTTCATTCATTTTATGTGAAAAATATTTATTTTCAAGGTCTTAAATTTTTATTCTTTTTAAAATATTTTTTTATTATATGGGGAGGGAAAGTGGAAGGGAAAAAAAAATTGTAGGAACTGCCACCTTGTATGTGAGAATTTCATACTATTTCATACTATCCACGTAAAAATTTCAAATGAAAGTTTTCCAAAGTATATAGAAATCTACAAAAGATATCCACTAATTTCATACAAATTTATAAAAAAAAAAAAAATCACGAAATTCACAGAAGTCGTCACTTAAAAAAAAGTCCATCAAAGTCAAAAGTTTCAATTGAATATACCCCCTAAATATGGTATTATGGAATTTATTTCGGGGATATTTTTATAGATGTCACAAAATTTGAAAATGTACAAAAAATTACACTTTTACAAATATTGTTCAAAAATGTCACATTTTTTGTGTGACTTCTATATACCTTTTTGGGAATATTTAATGTTCATTAATGCATGAATGTCATTTAATGTAATAATTTGATCACTTGACTAGTGTAATATAACCCCATGACTATATATATTATATAATGGGTAATGGAATTGTTAACCAAAAAAAAAAATAAAAAAAAATAAATCATTCATTACTTCGGTTGAGTGTGAAAACAAGTTTTTATCTCCCAAAAAATCCAAAATTTGTCTTCCTCTCCTCCGTTTCCATATCAAGAAGAAAGTAGTCTTTGGTAGTTAAATATTGATGAACACAATTAATGTTATGAAGAATGTATTTTTTTTTACAAAAGTCCGTAAAATGCAGCAGTTGAATTGTCAACTACATTCTGTCAAATCCGAAACATGAAATGTCTCTCCTATTCACCTGTTTGATATTGTTTGTTATAATTTATTCATAAGTGCCAATTGCATGCTAATAAATCCCTATATTATAATTGTGCCGAATGCTTATCATTGTTAATTCATATTTTCATGTACGAGTAATAATATGAGATTAATTGTGTCGTACGGGGGAGATTTGGATTGTATTTTTGTACATAAAGTTCAATGATGTATAATGATTTGGATTGTATTTTTTGAACACGACAATGGTGGTCGTCGTTTTTCATGTTATATTATCCATTTAATATTACTATTGTTGTAGTTTAAATTCATGTAAAAATGAATATTCCAAACACTTTGAAAATAACCATTCATTAATCAACATGTTACAAACTATCTAACTCGACATATACGCTTTGGAATTCTCAACAATTTGTTCCAAGTAAGTAGTCACGTAGACAAAATTAAAATTAGAGAAGACGATTTATCATGATGAAGGGTATTTTACGCTGCAAATTAAACGGATGTTTTTCATAGCAAAACAAAAGTGATATAATGTCGATAGGATGAAGCAAATATCACCCACTTCGCGGGTCTTCAACCCATGACTCGTCGCTGCCACTTCTTTCCTCTTCATCGTCCGAACTTATTACTATGACCTTGGAGGTGAAACATTTGGAATCGAAGCGTCATTCTCGGCTTCTTCGTACGATACCATGTATTCAAAATCATGCACAGTAGGCTTCTTCGTACGGTACCATGCATAGTAGGTGTCACTTTACCCCAAACAAGTTCAAGGTTCTTAGAAAATTGGATTACAATTAGATATGAAATAGCACATGCTTACAATTAATGTATATGTATCACCCAAATATTAAAAGTTGAACTATTAAATTTGTTGTACTCATGGGTTATAATTAGATATGAAGTAATACCTATTTACAATTAATATGTATGTATCACCCAAACATTTCATAACCCTTTAATCTGAGTCACTTTCTACACTTTGTAATTCACTCGGGACAATTGAATTTATTGCAAAAATTTAATCCGAGTCACTTTATACACTTTGTTGAATATAATTAAACTCGGTCATCATTACAATACACAAATAATAATAGTTACACAATTGAGCTACACACCCAATTGAAATAAGTTTGGCATTATATCATAATTGTCGATAACACAAGAACCAATTGTCAAGAATTTTAGAACATAACTATCGAGACTGACAGTTTATCTCGACGGATGGGTTTTATAAGAACTACATGTGAACTCTCTATATGATAACATGAGTAAGATACTTGAATCCTCAAATTTAATCACGTTGCATCAAAAAAATGAGATTAACTTGATACAAACTCAAAACCACATTCACAATACAATACAAAAATCTTGAAAATACGACAAATTACAAGTTAAAAAAGATTTCACATTCTTTTCCCAATCAAAAGAAAATTGTGCTCCCAAATCACATCTTCGACTCAAATATGAGATCAGCATAACTTTTGATGAGCTCGAAGGATCAAAAAACTCGAGCTAAATTTGTTAAAATGCAGTGAAATCCCACTAAAAAATATCATCCAATAATTCTATGACAATATTCGAAGGAAATATTAAAACGATAATAAAGATTATCACACAATAATGATAAATTTACTTGGAATCCACTAAATGTTGGCCTGCCATTACAGAATTGTGACTGACCCACAAAATATCACTTTCAGTATCAATGTGTACGTAGAACTCTTTTGGAGGAGTCTCAATTTAACTCTTGTATTATATAGCCTTGAAAGTATGGGACGGATTTTAAATTCTTTTGGAGGATTCTATCATGTCTGACTCCATTTAATGATGAAAAATGGAGGAAATGAAGAAATTTTGTGAGGAAGAAGAAAAATGTGGTGGGTTTGCAACCTCGGGTGGCGTAATGCTTTTCTACTTTTTGTACTATTTTTTCATCTAATCAGATCGGATTTAATTAAGGACATTCGAGCTATTAATTTTTTGGATCATGCTAATTGTACAATCGAGGTTGACAACCACTCACATGGAGGGTCCACTTTTTTTTTTTAAATACGAGGACCCCGCACACATGTGAGAGGTTGTCAACCTCAATTGTAAAAGTAGAATTATCCTAATTTTTTTTAGAGAGGTAACAAGGTCCAAAAGTGACATTCTTGTAAAGATTATTAATATGTGACATTTTCGTTAATGACAATTCAAAAAGTGACAAGGAGTGCAATTTCCTCTTCATTTAAATTGGACATATCATGTGCTATCATATAAGGTGGTATTTTAACGTTAATATGAATATCGTTTTTTTGTTGTTTTTTTTTTTCAAAACACTCACACAAATAACGACACACGTGTCAGTAATATTACTTTTAAAAATTCTT